ACTAACAGACTGCTCTCAAGGAAATGTGTATGATGTAGATTTCATGGTCACAGTTTTATTGAAGCTGTATTTATTTAATGTGTTGATTTATAAACCGTGTATGTGTGTGTATGTGTAAATATTACACAAGACTAGCTAATAATAGTAATTGAGTTTTTATAAAAGTGATGGTAATTTGTGTTTAAAAGCTTAACAGGTATGTTTCCCTTCTCTTTTGACTGAAGGAAATCTTTTCTTCTCTTCATGTCATTTGTTTATTGCTTGAGTTACAGTATGTGAATACTTAGAAACATGTTCAGGAAAAATGGGACATATGTCTTGAGAAATTTCACATGTATACCTCTGCAGTAAGGTATTAAAAGCACTAAAACATTGACTAATCAGCCTTAAGTTCCACCTGGAATGTTCCTGTAGTGCAGGCTCTGGTTTCAGCTTTAAGAGTCAGTCCCTGTCTTCCTACTGTAGATTGATGAATGTTGCTTTTGTTTCTAGTTTGCCTTGTACTGCATCTGGTGGTTTTGCAAAGTGCTGAGAGAAGAGCTCAGGCCTATACAACCTTTTTGCAAATTTATTTGTATCAAACTGGTAGTCTTTTTCTCATTCTGGTAAGTATTGCGTGCTCTTAAATATTCTTTCTTTATAAATGCCAATAAAACTGTTGTTTAAGGGAGTTTTTTTTTACAGTAATGTGAAGTCAATGCCAGACTCAATGATCCCTACCTGTGGTCCCAGCCCATGGGAAACTGAGGCAGGACCACCAGTTCAAGGCCAGTCCTTGGGCTGGAGAGAGGCTCAGCAGTTAGAGTTTGCTGCATATCCAGAGGACCGTAGTTTGTCCCCAGCAGCCATGTATGGCGACTCACAATCTCATGTCACTCTAGTTCAAGGGACCCGAAGCCCTCTTCTGACCTCTGTGACACATGCACATACTTGCACAGTCTCAGTCTCTCTCTATCTCTCTCTCTCTCTCTCTCTCTCTCTCTCTCTCTCTCAGACACACACACACAGACACACTTGCACGCATTCACATAGCAATTTTTTCAAACCCATCCGTTTAGCTTTTGTAAGATTTACAAAATCAGGGCTGGAAAGAGGGCGCAGCAGATAAGAGCCCTTGCTATTCTTTTGGAGGATCTGGGTTGAGTTCCTAACATCAACAAAGTTAGTGGTCACAACCCTCTGCAATTTCAGGTCCAGGTGATTCTAATGCCCTCTTCTGATATCTGCAGATACTCTACTTGTATATACATATGCAGGCAGAACTCACACAAAACTAAATATTAAAAAATAGTTTTTAAAAGCATTTTAAAAACACAATCTTAGTCATGCGTGGTGGTATATACCTGTAGTCCCAACACTCAGGGTAAAACAAGAGAATCTCACATTGAGTTTGATGACAGCCTGCTCTCTATAGCAAGTTGTAGATTAGCCTATGCCACAGTGTGTGATCTTGTATCTACACAATCAAAGAAGTAGTCAGACGGCCACTATGACATTTAAAAGATGAAGATAATTTGAGATAGCCTAACTGTCTTGATACCATCGTTAAAATTATAGTTCTGCTGGGTGTGGTAGTGTACCCTTTAGTCCCAGCACTCCCCGGGGAGGCAGAAGCAGGTGGTTCTCTATGAGTTCAAGGCTA